AGGGACAGGGATGGGGACGAGCGCCTGGGGTGCGGGGTCAGGACAGGATCCCTGGGCACGGGTGTCCGCTGGGCAGGGCAGCTTTCCCGGGCTCTTCACCATCGTCCCTTGGCCATGGGGTTGACGTTTATCCCCATTGCGAGCCGAGGTGCAGGGCTATTTCATTTGGAAACCCTCTCTGCCGCGGCCGCGTCCCACGAAGCACCCGCAGGAAGGGTCCCGCTTCAGCGAGTGCGCCCGAGATGCTGGACACCCCCAGCTTCACCGAGGCCTGTGTCGCCTTACGTCTCCGCTCTCGGGATGGGAGAAACTGGATGCCCAGACCTGGGCGAGGGTCTTCCCAGCCTTGGCATCGCCGTTCCGGGGAGCCCCGTGGTGGCATCGTCTCTACGCAGCAGCAGCCTTCCCTCCTCTCCCTTCGGGATGCTGTTCAACTCCACCTCCGCATCTTGTATTCTCGCCTCCTGGCATGCAGCGTGCTTTTATTTTTCCTGGATCTCTGCTTGGATGACGAAGCCTGTTGATTACTTATTTTTCTTTACGAGGCATCCCCCAGCTTCACGCGGGCTCCCGCACCAAGGCGGGATTTGGGGTTCGCATCCCCACTGCGGCTCCCTGGTGTTGACCCTGTTTCCAAACTGCAGGTTAAGCCTCGAAACCCTCCTGAACTTGGCTGGGAAAATCAAGAGGGTATAAAAATACCCGGTCTGTTTGCACTCTGTTTCTTCTGGCGTCTGCGGGTTGTTTTCAAGCGTTTCCCCACAAATGTGGGGGTGAGAAGCACTTCTTAGGATTGAGAGCTGCAGTCTCCATCGCTTGTGTGCCTTCAGCAGCCGGGATTTGGAAGGAAACCCTGGTCAGGGCTGGGAGCACAGGGTTAGCAGGTTGGGAAGTTGGGGAGACCCAAGGCGCGGGTCTGTAAAACATCTCTCTGCTGTTTTCCCGCTGTCTCTGGAAGCGGGGACGGGAGGGCACGGGGGGCAGCTGGCAGGGCGGGTGGCAGCTGGG